CTCCTCAAACTCTGAATATGCAAGTGGTGCTATTTTATTTTTCGCAGCTGTATATCGATCCGTTAGCTATAAGTTTCGACGCATTAGAGACACATGTCGTATGCGTAATACCTCCCATTGATTAAATGAAACGAGTGATATCAACAGCAAATGAGTGGATCAATTTCCAGCTCTATAATATTGTGCTCAGATCGACCGCCGGACGGGCAATAAGATGGACATTGCACAAAACTGATATACCTCATTTACTTCTTCGAATGAGTATAAAATATAGGAAATTTTATGTAAAGAATAAATAATTTATAGTTTTCAGTTGACTATAAACCTTATTCCCGATCTAAAACATAGTCCGCTACCATTTTCCCACATTTCGTATGAGTAATATTTCCAATGTGCATCACACATACGACACGTGGTACACATATTCGAAAAACTCACTTTTTAATCGTTTTTAAATACATTTAAATTAAATTTTTCCCCATATAATTGTACATGGTGACGCTATTTAAATCTCTCCCGCTTTGGCACTTCAAATGTCTGCGATAGAACTGAAATCGTTGGCCAATGTCGCCTCAGCTTGAGCGTCGAACAATGCGCTTGATTCGCACATCAATAACGCATAAGCGATAAAAGTTTTTGCAATGGGAATTAGATGAATAATTTAGCGTTAATTCGCGTTTACTCGCACAATTGCAGTGCGATTCTAGGGTGAAGATAGTGTTAAAAACATGTAGTAAATATATTGTAATAAACACGTTGATCGACTTGGAAATACCCTACTAAAAATGATAATACAGTAAAGACTAATGTAAGCTTAGCAATTCTCATTAACTACTATTAGAGAAAACATTTTTCATATTGAAAATGTTGTTCTTAGCTCTCGCTTTGTCTTAACTAACAAAGTATGGGGAATCGAAAAGCTATTGGCTCGATATATCCGTCATTCCAACCACATTGTTTTGAATGCCAGCCGGAATATTCGATTTGCGGTGCATGTCTCGGCTAGTTGGTGCTCTCTTCCATCTGCTCACACATGTTCAGTGTTGTAAATGGATTGAAAGCTGAACGCCAAAAAGCTCTTGCACACCAAGTGCATAGGCGCGCATTCAAAAGCTTCCCCAGTGACACTGACCGTTTGCATGCCTAACGCATCAAGAGGAAGCGCTCAATCATAGCCACTGGGGAAAATATGGAGATGCGAATATGAATATATAGTTTATCTATAGAGGAGAGAAAGGACAACATTTAAAGTGCTTTCAGCATGGAGCGATTGAAAGCACATTAAAGCTTGCGAAGAATGCTCAAAGAGAGCTTTGGCTAGCCGTCAACTCTTCCGATTCCATGGCACGTACATCAAGAGCGTCTAATGCTTATGTGTCATGTAGGCTACAGGCAGGCCAGCCTATGAGTAACGCCTCTGCCTCGTCAACAACAAAAGCTAAAAGCTTAAAATAAGTATTTTCCTATAATTCCCCATCGAATGCACACCTGAAGTAAAGCTTTCTCCAATACACATCTGTTTAGATTATCTCGATATCAATATAGATTCGTTTTCGGCATATATCAGAAATTTGTATACCAAAAAAAATCTATTTATAGATTTTGATTTGTGATTTTTGGCACGACAAATAAAATGTTCTGTCGAATGAACATAGAGCAGAGATCATTAAGGAACTAGAAATGTCTATATATAGCCAAACTCTCGTTAGCAGCAATGCAGAGTGTTCACTGCTCCGAACTATGGGATTACTTACAATATATAAAATCATGTTCGTGTAGATAGGATTGATAGATTGGCTTTGGTTACTCACATGATGCGATGGTAGGCATCCGATTGCGTTTGGGCACATGTCACGGATTGCTCGGACTCCGTAGAATCATCGCGCAGCGTGGCAACGCCGAGCGGTAGGATGGGTATTATAGCAGCTGTTGCAGCTGCCGCTGTTGCCGGCGGTCCCGCCAATGCCGCCGTGTATGCTATCGGCGGCGTACCGGTATACGTTTGCGTCTGCGGAGATGGTGTCGTGCTAACGGCCTCCTGTGCAAAGCGAGAAACACACAAGGAATTTCAGCGTATATATGTTGTCTAGATATCGGACAGATGCTGCGTTGCAGTGCACAATATATATGGATGTATGTATGTATGTATGTATGTATGTATATGAATAAAAAACCTTGAATTCGGCGGATTCCTGTATGGAGTAGCGTTTGCGTTCGTATTGAATTTCCCGCTCAATCGAGCGACTGCGAAAGGCGGGCGGCAGCGAGCGATCCGGCGGTGTTTGCAACTTGGGCGTATCCGGCGTATGAACGCGTCCGCTGGCGCTCACCTGTGTGGCAGCGCTCTGTTGCAGCTGCAATTGCTGGCGTTGCTGTTGTTGCTGTTGTTGCTGCTGTTGTTGTTGTTGTTGCTGCTGTTGTTGTTGTTGCTGTTGTTGTTGCTGTGAATGCGACGAGGTTGTTGGTGGACTTTTCTCTTGTTGCTGCTGCTGTTGTTGCTGCTGTTGCTGCTGCTGCTGTTGCTGCTGCTGCAGCTGCTGTTGCTGATGCTGGTGTAGCTGCTGCTGCTGCTGCCGCTGCTGGTTCTGCTCCTCGCGCTTTTGCTGGCGCCGTATCTCAAAGTCCAGCAAACGCGCCTCTCGTTGCTCCTTGTCGCGCTGTTTACATGCAATTGTTGCAAAGTGCATTTTAACTATAAGTTACTCAGCTCTGCGGCCATTTTAATTGAATTGCCTAATTACGAGCGATATACTTGTGCAGAGTTACTCGGGCATCGGGCCTTAGGTTGACGCGAGATGCGAGATTTAAAAAAAAATTATCAACTCTTTTGTTTGCGTTTTTGTTTTTTGTTTTTGTTTTTTAATTGGGTTTTGCTTTGCTTGAGATTTGCTGCGTTTGCTTTTGCTTTTGGTTATCGTGTTTTAGTTTTGTTTGTTTTTGTTTTTGTTTTCTAGTTTTTCTTCGCACACGCACGGGCACACTCACACGCACAAGCACACACACGCACAGCGAGTGAGTAATTTTTTGGCAGAAAGCGAGCTTGAGGGTGAGGAGGGGAGCGTAGACGGGGAGAAAGAGCGAGGGAGGGAGAGAGAGAGACAGGGAAAGAGGGAGAGCGGAGAGCGGAGCGCGGAGAGACTCGCACACTGACACACTCACCTTGTAATTGATAGCGTCCTGCTCTTCCTTTTTGGCCTCACGCTCGTTGCGCTGGCGATCGCGTTGCTTTTCCTCGTCGGTTTGCGCTGTTTTGCTGTCTGGCGTCGGAAAATGCCGGCGGGAATGGCGCATAAAAGAGAGAAACAGAAATAGAAACAGAAATGCCGATTGATAACCAACTATGTACAGCTAATTGAATTGCCAACGGCATCATCATCTTCTTCTTCTTCATCTTCATCGTCATTAACTTCAACTTCAACTCCAGCCTCAGCAGCCGCTGGCAAACATGCGCACGAAATCCTTCTCCAAAATCAAAATCAATCATGAGCAATTCACGAGCAGACAAAAAGAAAACCAAAACCGTGAAACAAAAATCAAATAGAAACCAAAACACAAAATGAACAAACATCTATGTCTATTAGAAGTAACTATAACTCTATATATATATATGTATATGTTATATATATTATATATGTACATATGCAACTAGTTGGGGAGCAACATTTAAGGGTTTTAGCGGTATCATCGGCATGCCATCAAACTATGAGAACTTACCGGGAAGAAACCAAACTACTCAAACGAACAAATAAACCAACACAAACACACAAACACAAGCCGAAAGCTAGAAGAGATCAACAGAAAATGAACTAGTTCTAATGAGCTACTACAATCGGTTCCCTGTCGTTCGCATTCCGGCGTGCACAATGCAGAGACGAGCTACTACTATATACATAAACTTAAGAAATCTAGCTAGAGATAGAGAGAGAGAGAGAGAGAGAGAGAGAGAGAGAGAGCAAGAGCGAGAGCTACTAATAAGCGAAACTATAAATTTTCTTTTACTGGTATGCAGTTGTTGTTGTACTTATGCATGTATGTACATTTTCCTAGATGAATGAGTAAACTGTAAACTGATTTTTTCTTGTGGATTATATTTAGGTATATATATGCTGAACTATGTGTCTAGCCTAAAGGTATGCTACGATTTTTTCTAGTGATTTTTGGACGAATTTTAACTTGATATACATACATATGTATGAACTAATCTAAAGAACTCTTTATTCATATATGTTTATATAGATATATTCTGGATTCCCATGGATATGTGTATGTGTATGTAGATATATGTATATATGAGCTATGGCCAGCTAAAACTGATTTGGGAGTTGAATTTAGCTGTCTTATAAGCAAGAGCTGAGTTACGGATATGAGCTATACATATGATCTCTTTACTACAAAACCAGCCTAAATTTAAGGTAAAGTCGGGCATTATAGATAGATATTTTTATGTCATTCACTTTCAGTAAAGCCGATGGCCTTAGAGCTCTACAAGCCAAAATATATAAATTGATTCATTTGAACTAGTTCGTGGCCTTGTTTGCATTATTATTAATAGCTCTTTTTGTTATTATAGCATTCATGGTGGTCCGCAGCCAATTGCAGGTAAACTACCGTCTTGGCCCTTTGGCACCTGTCTAATTGAATAAGTTGGCAAGTTTTGCTTTTAGCTCATTGTCATTGGGGAAAATACATAAAAAGGAAGCTTCGCAGCCTTCAATTTGTGTTAATGCATTTGACGCACACATACATACATAGATGCATAAGTATTGCCTACAGACATACATACCAGATGTGTGCGTGTGTGTGTGTGTGTGTGTCTGTTTTTGTTAGTTGTGCTGCTTCTTCTTCTTCCTCTGCCTCTAGTTGTTTGTTTTGCTTTGAGCGCAATAATTGTATTAAATGTGATTACATATTCACAGCTGTGTGTGTGTGTGTGTGGGTGTGTGTGTGCAGTTGTGTGGGTGGCTGTATAATGTGCGTGTGTGTGTGTGTGTGTGTGTGTGTGTGTGTGTGTCATATAACCTTTGGCAATGGGAATCACTTGAAGCGAGAATTATGAACAGAGACGCGACGCATTCTACTTATGGACTAAATCTAAAGTCTCTCTCTGTGTGTGAGTGTGTGTGTATGTGTGTGTCTATGTGTGTGTGCGTGTGTGTGTGCATAAGTATACAACAATAGCAAACCAAACGAAACGTAATGAAAATGAAAATTGCGAACTAACGAAACGAAACTTTCCTTGCAAATGAAATGTTGGCCTAAATAATGCCCAGCAAAACGATTCAATTTCATTTGAAAATAATATTAATTATAATGATAATGAAAATATATAATAATAATATTTCTTTTTTAATGTTTTTAATATTAATAATCATAAGACTAAACACAAATTATGCGATAATTGTTAATTTCAATTATAGGCAACACTACGAGACCAGAGAGACAGACAGAGACAGAGAGAGTGAGAGAGAGTGAGACAGATAGAGAGAGAGAGAGAGAGAGAGGCAGAGCGAACTAGCGAGCGAGCGAGCGAGCGAGCAAGAGCGAAAGTTTGAGAGTGAGATAGGCATACTCCTTACCTCTAGATGTGTTTGTTGTTGTTGTTGTACATTGTTGTTGTTGTTGTAGTTGTTGTTGTTGATAATGAAGTTGTTGTTGTTGATGTTGATGTTTTTGTAGCTGTAGTTGTTATTGTAGTTGTTGTTGTTGTTGTTGTTGTCGTTGTTGGTGGTTACAGTGGGTGTGTCGATTGTATGAGATTCGAGCATTAAGAAATTTTGCAACCTTGCGAGTGCGTGTGTTGCGTGTGCAAAGCAGCGGAAAGTTCTTCTTCTTCTTCTTCTTGTTATTTACTTTTATTTGCTTGTTTACTTTACATTGAATTTCATTAAATATCATTTAAATTTAATTACGTATTTCATTTGCTTGTTTGTTGTTGCATTTAAATTGAATTGGTTTGCATTTGTTTTCTTTTGTTTTCTTTTTTTTTTTGAGGGGGGGGAGAGGAGGTTTTGCATTTGCGTTATTTGAATTTTGATATTAATTTATTTGCGCATGTGTTTTTTTTTTCTTTGCTTTTTTTGTTCTTTTGTTTAGGTCATTTGGAGCAGCGGCGGCGGCGGCGTTTAACGGCGAATTTTAGCAGCATATGAGCATGTATGTGTGACGCATACCATGAAGAGAGGCAGGTAGGCAGAGTGTGAGATTGAGAGAGAGAGCGAGAGAGAGAGATAGAGGGAGTGATAGATAGACAGAGAGAGAGAGAGAGCGTGAGTGGGTAGAGGAGCACGGGCAGTTAACCGTTACAACCGGGCACAACGAATTATCGAACAAATGACAGCAGCTGCATATACAATGACACTGGCTGCATGTGTGTGTGTGTGTGTGTGTGTGTGTTTATTGCTGTTGTTGTTTGTTTAGCGTTTTGTTTTGCTTTGCTTTGAGTCGAGGAAACACTGAATATACAAATACACTTGCAGCTATGCTAACATGTAGCTCAGTGTATCTGTGTGTGTGTGTGTGTGTGTATATATGGATGTACGCGTGTGTGTGTGTGTGTGGCAAGTATTACATATACGATCTTGCTAGAATTTGTAGCTGAGCTGTGGCAGTTACGTGGTCGTGGTCGTGGTGGTGGTGGGCGGTGGGCGTGTCAAGGTGGTTTAACGACACAATATCAAAGAAAAGAAAAGAAACAACAAAATTGTGAATGATTAATAATTGTTGTTGAAAACATTTTGCTTTGCTTTGCTTTGCTCATTTCAAATTCACATATTTCAACTATATTTTGCTTTGTTTTACTTATTTTAGTAGCAAAAACCCATTGAAATACACTCGGTTGCAGCAGCAGCCACAGATAAAACACAGAAATTAACCAAAAATACAAATTCTTGACTAATCCTAACTAAGAGAACCCTAATATCTATCTATATATGTATGTAAGTTTCTAGATTCGATTACTAACACTTTCTTATTCTGCTGCTATTTAGTATTTCTTATTTCTATCGAAATGAAGTCAAAACGTAAAAGTAGATAATTGAAATTTGTGACAGAGTTGTATTTGTGTTGTACTATATAATATACATATGTATATATGGGTACATATAGTATATAGCATTTACTTTATTTAGTACATGGTAGTTAGCACTCGTACTACACGACAACAGTCTCATGTTTAATGAACGTACCAAGAGATTCGATAGGTACACAATCAATATTTTAGTTATACATATACATATATAATTGATACTGATAGTTTAGCATAGTATATAGTATTTTTATTTATTATTATTATTATTTTTTTTTTGCTTTTTACTTTTTTTGGTTTAGGTATATCTAGTATGAGTATACGAGTCAGGTTCACTTAGTTACATACGTACGTATACAAACGCAAGAATATATTTAATCGAACTGTAAAACAGAGCAAGAGACTGGGTACATTTAGAGACTTGCCGTTATAAGAGGAAGGAACAACCAAGGATCCAAAATGAAAAACCAAAATAATATAAGGAAAACGAGTATATCAACCAAAAACCGGAAGAAAGTTTATGAAAAGACGTACAGGAAATCAAAAATGCTGCAACACCTATATCGTACATGCAACTCACTTGAGGAGCCGCCGCCAGCGCCAGGTGGCGGATAGGAAAACCAAAATTGATGTGCCAGTTTGGAATGGCCCAATGGTGGGCTTGCTGCAAAAGAAAACAAACAAACCAGAAACGAAAACTCAAATTAAATATATACATATATGGAAAGCGAGAGAGAGTGTGAGAGAGAGAGAGGGAGAGAGAGATGGAGAAGAATGTTTTCTATATAATCGAAAAATATATATATATATATATGTACTGTATATAATTGTGCATATGCCAAAGCCCCAGCCATTATATTGTGTGTGCCTAGGGCCTATTAAAAAACTTCGACTTGTCGATGCAACAACAACAACAACAATTTCATAAAATAACTTTTTCTGCCCATTCTCTTAAGCTGTTATACAACTGCAGATGGTTCTTGGCTTAGATGGCTTTTAAATAAAATATTAATTTTTCTAAATACTAAATTTTCTTTCTACACTTAAATTATGTAAGCAAAAATAGGCAAACATTTATAATTCGCAAAAACTTGACTGGCCCCAGATATACTAAATAAGCTTAAAAATAATCTTTTTGAATACTAGAAATTTTTATTATCCAAACACTACGATTTTTGTCTGATTTATAGCAGAGAAATTGAAGTTAAAAAATATATTTGCATACGACTAGCATTTGTTCTTTAAATGAAGAAGAAGACAAGTAAGAGTCCGGCGTTACCGACTACAGAATTCCCTTTCACTATACCCGATTTGCCCTGCCTCCCCTTGGTAGATATATTCTATCTCTCATATCCTTTTGAGCTTGTGGTATCAGTGCGAGTATACGCTTCAAATTTCAACTTTCTAGCACTTTAACTACCCTTTCCTCTGGGACACCGGAAAAAGCATTTTCCGATTAGCCATTCCCCTAGTGGGCTAAGTTCATATAATTTCTGTTTACACCAGTATATGTTTCAAATTTGAAGCCTCTGACTCAAGAAACCTTTAAAAGGCTCGCATTCATACGGGAACAGGGTCAGACGGACGGATAGATGTACGAAAGGACAGATGCACGGACGGAAAGGCATTCGTATTTTTTATAATAAATTTGGTATTTATTTATTTATTTTATTTTTATTATTTTTATTTTATTTTTGTTATGCAAAATCATTGCAAATCTAATTTTAATTACCTTAAAAATTATTCAATTAAAGTTTTGCTCTATTAAAAAGAAATATATATAATAATAAACAAATTTCGAAAAGAAAATATATATGTATATATATTCAAACTGATATTAAAAAGCCCGTCTAAGCCTACACCCAAGCAATTGACCTGATTTTCCACATTTTGAATGAAAAGAGAATAAAACAAAAACAGAACGTCAAAAAAAAAAAAATAAATAAATAAATGAAAAGGAAAAGGAAAACATTTTTAGCTCCCCTCTGGAGCATCGTAACTTGCATTCAAATTCTTTATAAATATGAACTAATCTAACACAATAAACAACAAAAAGGAGAGAGATAAAGAGAGCGAGAGCGAGTTAGAGAGAGAGAGAGAGATGTACTCAGGCAATGCCTATGCTACTATTTACACCCTAGCATTGGGCTTAGCCGCTATGTAGGTCAGGATGTGACCCGATTGTAGTCGAGTATGACGGAAATGCTGATCATGGCATAATTGGCTAACCACGTGGCACGTGGCACGTTGTGCCGGCTACCCTGTAAATTGCTGTGAGTGTTTGTATGTGTGTGTGTGTGTGTGTGTGTGTACTCACCAAATAACTAAAGAAACGCGTACTTTTTTCTTGAATTTTACAGGGTAAACAAAGCGTTGGATTTCGGTTTCAATATTCAGTTGACTGCGATTTCAGCAACATTTAATAAATCGACTGGCTTATGACCTTTTTATATTGAATGTGGCATTAACATGTGGGTGGGTGTGTGTGTGTGACTGTGCACACAAGTGCATTTGTATGTGATATATACATACACACATATATTAACATATGCATATGTATATACATAATATAGAGCTAGAGTTGAAATTTCAACAATCTACTCTAGTCACTCTCCCACAGTCTCACACACACACACTCACACACACACACACACACACACACACACACACACACACACACACA